ACTTAGTACAGGTTAAAGAGTCATCTCAAAACAGAAGAGAAAAATGAATTAGTCAATAAATATTTAGATACTGAATGCCCACTGTCCTATCTAAAACATTCATAAATACTTTAACTCCAGATAGGTTAAAGAACTAAAACCATTAAACTGAAATATGGTGAATATGCACTCTGAACCTGGTGTAGAAAAATCCTTCTTAAAAACACAAAAACAAAAGCTCAGAAAAAAAGGAATAAGTATGACTATATGAAGCACAAAACTTCTATAAAAATACACACACACCAAAAAACTATAAAGTTTAAAGACAATTCATAGCCTGTAAGATATTTGCAACATAAATAACAGAGAGGATTTGTAACACCTATACAAAAATGCTACAAAATCAACTTAAATGAACAACACACAATCCGAAAAAAAAAAAAAAAAAAAAAATGGAGTAATGATATAGGCAGGCAATCCACAGAAGAGAAAATAGAAATATACAATGAATACATGGAAATATACAAATTATACCTACTATGCAATGCAACCTTTATCCAAGTGATAAAAACATAAGACTTGAAAAAGATCAAGTGCTGATGAGTACTACTGGTGTGTGAATAGTTCTCTTATATACTCTAAAGCATTGATATTTTGAGGGGTTATTTAGCAGTATTAATTTTTTTAAAAATGGGCATCCACTATGACCCAGGGATTCTATTTCTAGGAATCTACCCTAAAGATACACTCACATATGTGCACAAAGATATTAATTTAAACATTATTTGAAATAGTGAAAAATATAAAACACCAAAATGTTTATCAGCAGGGAAATAAACTAAAATATCTAGGCAGTGCAAGAGTTTAAAAAAATTATGATAAATCTCTAAATGTTAACATACACTGAAGGATTATCAAGTGATATTGTCAGGGGAAAAAAAGGTTTCAGAAAAATACAGAACAATGTTCTGAAACAAAATAAAGTCAATTCTACAGACTTCTAAAGATACATGAATGTATGTAATGCACAGAGAAAGGTCTAGAGGGTAACCAACAAATTAATAATAAAAGTTAACTCTGGGGCAGGGACTGTGTCGGGGTAAGGGATAGTCAAGAGGGATTTTGACTCTACATTGTTTGAATTTTTAAAAATAAGAGTATATCCCTGGCCAAGTGGCTCAGTTGGTTGGAGCTTCATCCCATACAACAAAAGTCTGTGGGACACACACCTAGGGCACACATCTAGGTTGTAGGCTCAATCCCGGTTGGGGCACGTATGGGAGGCAACCAACTGATGTTTCTCTCTCGCACTAATGTCTCTTCCTTTCTCTCTCTCTCTTTCAAAGTCAATGAACATATCCTCAGGTGAGGATTTAAAAAAAAGAGTATACTTACTTATTATGTAATTTAAAAATAGAACATAAAATATTTAGGTACAAAACTATAAGTTGTATTCTAGGGGTAGAGCAAAGTCCTGTGGAAACATAGTGAAAGGACAAATTAGTGTGTAAGAACATTTCATAGCAGCAGTGACACTTGAGCTGGGCCTTGCTATTTGAATAGGATGTTGTCAAGCATTCATAATTTGGTGGAGGACTGTGGCAGACTGTATTTTCTAAAGATGACTGTACTAACACACATCCCATCCCATATGCTTTTCTTTCAGTAAAATATTAACACATCCGTGGAAAGGTGGGAGTCCCTTGTCCTCTCCCCCTGAACTTGAGCAAGACTTTGTAATTGCTTTGATGAACTGAGTGGGGAGGAAGTATCACAGCATAACTTTCCAGATTATTCAGCTTCTACCTAGTCCTTTCAGTCACAGGATGCTCACCTTTGGGACACAGCCACTATGCTGTGCTGTGAGGGAGCCCAAACTAGCCCATGTGGAGAGAACATGAATAGGCCCACATGGAGAGAAACTGAGGCCCCTAGCTGACAGTGTACATCAACTCCCAGATCCATGAGTGGATGGTCCTTCAGATGGTTCAGTGCCTGGCCTTTGAGGTCTCCAGCTGAGGCCCAAATATATGTCATGGAACAGAGAGATAAGTCATTCCCACTGTGCCCTGTTCTAATTCCTTACCCAGAGAATCCATGAACAGAATAAATGATTATTTTATGCCATAAAATTGAGCAATGTATTACAGATCTGGAGTAACTGGAACAAGACATTCTAAGGAGAATAAACTACACAAGTAATAGAATGTCACAAAGCACTGTGAATATTGGCAGTTATTGGGTGATGAGGCCAAAGAAGTTGGCTGGGACCAGACTATGAAAAGTCTTATATGACAGCACGAAAAATATTAGACATCCTATTGGCAGTGGGGAACTTTTTAAATATGTTTTTATCAATTTTAGAGAGAGAGGGAGACAAACATCTATCAGCTGCCTCCTGCACAGCCCCCACTGGGGACTGAGCCTGCAATCTGGGCATGTGCCCTGACAAGGAATCGAACCAGCGACCTCTCAGGAACATGAGACAACACTCAACCAACTGAGCCACACCGGCCAGGGTTGTTGAAAGTTTTTAAAGTGAAATGCTAAGATCTGCAATTGAGAAAGATCTCTCTGAGATCAATGTAAAGGAAAGCCTGGAGAAAAGGCAGACTTATAAATAGGAAAAGCTCCTCCAATTAAGATGAGTCCTACCCAAGCAAAATGGTGGAATCATCCCTCATGTGACATGTTTTGTGATTTTTTTCCTCTTCACTTTTGCCAGTGATGCTCCTTTATAGTCAATTTCACGCCCTGTCTGGTTTGACTCAGCGATTAGAGCGTTGGCCTGCAGTCCAGAGAGACCCGGGTTCAGTTCCCGCTAAGGGCATGTACCTCGGTTGCAGTTTGTCCCCGGCCCAGGTTGGGTCGTGCAGGTGGCAGCCACTCCATGTGTCCCCTATAGTCAATTTCACTTGTATGAAAACATTGGCAGGGAAAACATGTCCACACAACCTGCACACAGTTATTTACAGCAGCTTTATTTATAATTGCCAAACCTTGGACACAACCAAGATGTTCTTCAGTAGGTGAATGTATAAGTACCCTAGTATATCCTATTCAGCACTAAAAAGAAATGATTTATCAAGCCATGAAAAGACATGGAGGAACCTTAATGCATATCACTAAGTGAAAGAAGCCAGTCTGAAAAGGCTACATACTATATGATGCCAACTATATGACTCTCTGGAAAAGACAAAAGTATGGAGACAGTTACAATATCAGTGGTTGCCAGGGGGTAGAGAGGGGTCGGGGGATGAATAGCAAAGCACAGAGGATTTTTAGGGCAGTGAAACTTCTCTATATAGAATGGTGGACACATGTTACACATTTGTCAAAATCCATAGAATGTACACCACCAAAAGTGAAGCCCAATGTAAACTATGGACTTTGGGTGATAATGTAGGTTATCATAAAGTGTTAATGTAGCTTAATTGACTCCTATGAATGTACCATCTGGTGTGGGATGTTAATAGTACAGGAAGCTGTGCTTCTTTGGAAGTAGAGGGTGTATGAAAAATCTCTGTACCTTCTGCTCAATTTTGCTGTGAACCTAAAAAACTGCTCTTAAAAATAAAGTCTATTAAAAAATGTTGGGTGGGGGAAATGTATAGGGTTATTAATAAGAATACATAAATGTTTCCTTACTGTTCTTTCAAGCTTCTGGATCTGGATCAATTTACATAAAGTGTATCCTAAGAATACAAAGCAAGGTGTCTACAAAATTGTAACCACTTATAACTAATTATCCATGTTAATATCACCATCTTTGTGCTGCAAATATCACCATAACCCACAGCTTCTTGTTTTTGTGTCTATTAAAATATTCTCACCATTCTCACAACTGGTTTTATAAGAAAACTATATAAACATGAACTTGTAAAATAAATTTATACTAATCTACAGTTTTTATATTATGGATATTGGGGATCAATTTAAGGGGGAAAATGAGGTGCATGGTCCAAAGATGAGGGAGAGGATGAAACTCAGAACATAAGGAGCCACCTCTGTGATAAGGGAAAGGATGCCTGGGTGAGTATAAAAGCAAAGATATATGAGGGGATGAAAAATACTAATGAAAAAGCTTCACTCTCATCGTGGCAGAAGATCTTTCATGCTATTTTCTGATAAAATCAAGAGGCAGAATGTACTGAAAATTGAGAGTTCATGGAGAATAGAGACAGGATGGAATGGCTCAACAATGAATCAATCAGATCGTGAGTAACAGTAGGGCCTAGTTGGAATTTAATAGTGTACTTTATTGGAGACCAATTTTGTATACTTTGCCTTTCTCTAATGTTAATTATTCAAAAGGTAATTAACCAATTTGTGGGATACCATGCATCTTGCTTTTCATCTAATGCTTGCTCTGGAAAACACCCTAATTTTAACTCTTTATCAAAGAGAAGTTAATACAAATGAGAAAAGGAACTGAAATTAATTTTTTCTGCTCTTAACATTCATAAAAGATTTAAGGTTTGTAATTAATAATTTTTGAAGCAAAACAACAAAAAATGCATTGAGACAAATGGTAAAATAAGATTACAGAATCAGCCCTGGCCGGTTTGGTTCAGCGGTTAGAGCGTCGGCCTGCGGTCCTGAGAGGCCCGGGTTCGGTTCCCGCTAAGGGCGCGTACCTTGGTTGCGGTTTGTCCCTGGCCCTAGTTGGTTGTGCAGGTGGCAGCCACTCGATGTGTCCCTTTCACATTGATGTTTCTCTCTCTCTCTCTCTCTCTCTCTCTCTCAATCTCTCTCTCTCTCTCTCTGTTCCTCTCTCTCCCTCCCACTCTACCTGAACAAAAAATGGAAAAATGTCCTCGGGTGAGGATTAAAAAAAAAAAAAAAAGATTACAGAATCACATGTGGGTTGAATTTGCCCATACTAGTCCTGTCCCTCATTATCAAAGTTAAATTAAAGCTGCTGTTTTATTTCACAAAATAAAATCTGGTAAAAAAAAGTCCTGGCCCAGAGTTTCTTATTCATGTTTCTGAGTAAACTTCCTATTCTTTAACCAACTTACCTGCATCCCAGTGGTTACAGTCTTCTGCTTGCCCTTCTGACAACCATGTAGGTGACGAGATAATGGCTGGAGGAACTGTTGGCAAGAGTGGCTTCAGATCATCCTCGTAAAATAGCATCAGGTCCTTACAGAAAACAAGAAAGCACATTAAAGTTGAAAAATAAATGAATTCGATTGCTTCAATTTGTTACATTGGATGGGCAATTTATGGAGATACAATCTATATGTGCTATATGCAAAATGTATAAACACATTATGATTGAAAGAATTCACACATAAGTTATTCATACACTTGGGTATCCTCTGAGTATAGAGTGATCCAAAAAAAGTCTAAGTAGTGGGATTGGTTGGATGTGTCTCCCCCCCCCCTATGAATGGGGATTTTTAATAGTAATTTATTATAGTCTAATTAACATAGTAAATGCATAAACCTTAAGTATAAAGCTCAGTAACTTTTAACGTTATGTGTATAGCTAAATTACCACATTTCCTTTGCTCCAGAATGTTCCCTCAAGTTCCTTTCCAGTTGATACTACCCCTCCATCACTAGTAAACAGTATTCCATCTTTTATCACCATCAATGAGTTTGTCTGTTCTTGAACTTCATATAAATGTAACCATATACTATGTATTCTTTTGTATCTGATTCCCATTGCTTAACATAATGGTTGTGAAATTCATCCATATTTTCTGTGCAAGTAGTCCCCCTTTATCTGTGGTTTTGCTTTCTATGGCTTCAGTTATCCACAGTCAACCATTCTCCAAAAATATTAAATAAAAAAATTTCAGCCTTGGCCAGTTTGGCTCAGTGTTTAGAGCATTGGCCCGCAGACCAATGAATCTCGAGTTTGATTCCAGTCAAGGGCACATACCTTGGTTGCGGTTTGTTCCCTGGCCCTGGTTGGGGTCATGCAGGAGGCAACCAGTTGATGTATCCCTCTCACGTCAATGTTTTTTTTTTTTCTCTCTCTCTCTTTCCTTCCCTCCCTCTCTACCTGAAGATAAATGGAAAAATATCCTCAGGTGAGGATTAAAAAAAAATCCCAGATATAAATTCATAAGTTTTAAATTGTGCACCATTCTGAGTTGTGTGATGAAATCTTGTGCTGTCCCACTCTGTCCCACCTGGAACACAGATCATCCCTTTGTCCAGCATATCAATGCTGTATACACTGCCTGCTTGCCTGCTAGTCACTTAGTAGCTGTCTTGGTGATCAGTTTGATGAGTTGTGTGGTAGTTGCATGTTTAGTTTCATAAAGAAAACTACCAAACTATTTTCCTGAGTAGTTGTACCATTTTATATTCCTACCTACACACACACACACACATATATTCCAATTTCTCCACATACTCACCAGCATTTGGTGTTGTCACTATTTTTTATTTTAGCCATTTTGATATTTCACTGGGTGTTTACATTACATGTTCCTAATGGCTAGTGATGTTGAACATCTTTTCACTTGCATACTGGCCATCTGTGTTTACTGAAGTGACTGTTCATATCATTTGCTCATTTTCTAACTGAATTGTTTGTTTTTTAACTGTTGAGTTTTAAGAGTTCTTATCGTTGCTTTTTAAATCCTCACCTGAGGATATGTTTTCATTTATCTTCAGACAGAGTGAGGGAGTGTGAGAGAGAGAGAAACATCAATGTGAGAGAGACACATCAACTGGTTGCCTCCTGCACGACCCTGACCAGGGCCAGGGACCCAACTGCAACCGAGATACGTCCCTTTGACCAGAATCAAACCCTCAACTCTTCGGTCTGCGGGGCCGTTGCTCTAATCCCTGAGCCAAACTGGCCAGGGCTTGGTTTGCAAATATTTTGCCCCAGTTTGTAGCTTGCATTTTCACCCTCTTAATAGATCAAGTTTTTCATTTTATTTTTTAAATTAAATGTACTGAGGTGACACTAGTTAATAAGATTATATATGTTTCGAGTGTGCATTTCTATGATACATAATCTGTGTATCACATTGTGTGCCCACCACCCAAAGTCAAATAATCTTCCATCACCATATATTTGGCCCCCTTTACCCTTTACCATCCCCTTCCCCTTTCCCTCTGGTAACCACCATACTGTTGTCTGTGTTTATGAGTTTCAGTTTTATATCCCATATATAAGTGAGATCACATGGTTCTGAGCTTTTTCTGACTGGTTTATTCCACACAGAGTGATATTCTCAAGGTCCATCCATGTTGTAGCAAATAAATGTCTTCAAATTTTGGGGTAGATACTCCAAAGAAAGATTGCTGGATTATATGGTAACTCTAGTCTTAATTTTTTAAGAAACCTCTGTACTGTTTTCCATACTTGCTGTACCAGTTTACATTCCCATGAGCAGTGAATGAGGGTTCATTTTTTTTCCACAACCTATCCAACACTTGTTACTACTTGTCTTGTTGACAACAGCCATTCTAGTATGTGTGAGTTGGTGTCTCATTGTAGTTTTGATTTGCACTTCCCTAATAGCTAGTGAAATTAAACATCTTTTCATATATCTGTTGGCCATTTGTATGTCTTCTTGGGAGAAGGGTCCAGCTCCTCTGCCCATTTTTTAATTGAATTGTTTGTTTGGTGTTGGGTTCTTTTTTTTTTTTTTTTTTTTTTTTTTACCCAAGGATGTGTTTTTATTGATTTTAGAGAGGGAGGAAAGAGGGGGGCATTGATTGGTTGCCTTCCATATGCATCCTGACCAGAGATCAAATCTGCAGCCTAGGTATGTGCCCTGACTGGGAACCAAACCCACAACCTTTTGTTGTAGCGGATGATGCTCCAACCACCTGAGCCACCCAACCAGGGCTGTATGAGTTATTTATATATTTTGGATATTAACCCCTTGACAGAGCTGTTGTTTGCAAATATCTTCTCCCATTCTGTTGGTTGCCTTTTTGTTTTGTTGGTGGTTTCCTTTGCTATGCAGAAGCCTTTAGTTTGATATAGTCCCATTCATTTATTTTTGCCTTTATTCCCCTTGTCTTTGGGGTCAAGTTCATAAAAACCTCTCTAAGACCGGGTCCATATGTTTAGTACCTATAATTTCTTCTATATAATTTGTTGTTTCAGATCTTAAATTTAGATCATTGATCCATTTTGAATTAATTTTTGTGCATGGGGACAAACTATAGTCTAGTTTCATTCTTTTGCATGTGGCTTTCCAATTTTCCCAGCACTGTTTATTGATGAGGCTTTCTTTTCTCCATTGTATGTTTTTGACCCCTTGGTCAAAAATTATTTGCCCATATACATGTGGTTTAATTTCTAGACTCTCAATTCTGTTCCATTAGCCTGTTTGTGTGTTTTTCTGCCAATATCATGCCATTTTGATTATTGTTGCTCTGTAGTATAATTTAAAGTCAGGTAGTGTGATACCTTCAGCTTCATTCTTTTTGTCTGAAGATTGCATTGGCTATTTGGGGGTCTTCTGTAGTTCCACACAAATCTAAGGATTTTTTGTTCTATTTCTTTAAAAAATATCATTGGGATTTGATGGGGATTGCATTAAATGTGTATATTGCTTTTGGTAATATAGACATTATAACTATGTTGATTCTTCCAATTCATAAACATGGAATCTCTCCATTTTATTATATCCTTTTCAATGTCTTTTAATAATGCTTTGTAGTTTTCAGTATATAGGTCCTTCACATCCTTTGTTAACTTTATTCCTAGGTATTTTATTGTTCTTGTTGCAATTGCAAAAAGAATTGTGTTCTTTTTCATTTATTTTTCTGAAATTTTATTGTTTGTATATAGGAATTTCATAAATTTTTATACATTGATTTTGTATACTGCAACTTGACTATATTTGTTTTATTGTTACTAATAGTTTCTTGGTGGAGTCTTTAGGGTTTTCTATATAAAGAATCATGTCAACTGCAAATAGTGACACTTTTTACTTCTTCATTCACAATTAGGATGCTTTTTATTTCTTTCTCTTGCCTGATTGCTCTGGTTAGGACTTCCAGTTCTATGTTAAATAAGAGTGGTGAGAGTCACTCTGGCTGGTTTGGTTCAGCAGTTAGAGCATCGACCCTCAGACCAAAGAGTCGTGGGTTTGATTCCAGTCAAGGGCATATACCTTGGTTGCAGTTCGCCCCCAGCCCTGGTTGGGTCATGTGGAAGGTAACCAGTCGATGTGTGTCTGTCACATCAATGTTTCTCTCTCTCTCTCCCTCCCTCCTATTCTATCTGATGATAAATAGAAAAATATCCTCAGGTGAGGATTGAAAAAAAAAAGAGTGGTGAGAGTGGACATCCTTGTCTTGTTCTTAATTTTAGAGGAAAAGCTTCTACTTTTTCACCACTGAGTATGGTATTAGCTGAGGGTTTGTCATATATGGCCTTTCTTATGTTGAGATATTTTCCTTCTATACCTATTTTATTTAGTGTTTGAATCATAAATGGATGTTATATCTTATCAAATACTTTTCTGCATTTATTGATAAGCTCATATGATTTTTATCCTCTGTTTTGTTAATGTGGTATATTACATTGATCTGTTCGTGTATCTTGAAATATCCGTGTGCTCCTAGAATGAACACCACTTGATCATGATGTACTATTTTTTAAAGATATTGTTGTATTCACTTTGCTAGTCTTTTGTTTAAGATTTTTGCATCTGTATTCATTAGAGGTATTGGTTTGTAGTTTTCTTTTTTTGTGTTATCCTTGCCAGGTTTTGGTATCAATGTTATGTTGGCCTTATAAAATGTCTTAGGAAGTATTGCCTCTTCTTCAGTTTTTTAGAAGAGTTTGAGAAGGACAGGTATCAAATCTTCTTTGAATGTTTGGTAGAACTCACTAATAAAGACATCTGGTCCTAGACTTTTATTTGGGGGGAAGGTTTTTGATGGCTGTTTCAATTTCCTTACAGTTGATCAGTCTATTTAGATTTGCCGATTCTTCATGATTCATCTAAAACAGTTATATATTTCTAGGAACTTATCCATTTCTTCTAGGTTATTGAACCTTGTGGCATATAGTCTGTCATCGTATTATAGTATGACCCTTTGTATTTCTATGATGTCTGTGGTAACTTCTCCTTTTTCATTTCTGATTTTGTTGGTATGCATCTTTTACCTTTTTTCCTTAGTGAGTTTAGCCAGAAGTTTTGATATGT